ACTACAGTTAATAACTGAATAACCATTGACAATGACAATTATAGTCAATAACCAATATCATACCTACCACGAAGACACGTAAATGATAATAAGTAATAACTTAATAACGTAAATATTTTAATTTCAAATTTGTAATAATCATAGACCATCTTATCACGTATCCAGGGGGCGTGGCATACGTTATCAATTAAATATATCATATCATATTAAAGTATTAAACAATGGAAATAACCCGACCCCGCGCCGAATACCCTGCCAATTAGGCGGAAACAGTTTTTAAATACGGGTATAACATCAAGTTGGTGTACGGAAACAGTTTCAATGTTCGGACTTCAGATCATAGGTAAACACTCATTGATATATTTAACTAAAATAATGTTTAATATTTATGTAAACACTTCACCCATCAGCTGATCGAGTTTCGCTTCAATACATATAATTATTGTTCTATGATCTTATACAACTCATATTACCACTCTTATACCATCTTATACCACTGACGAATTAAGATAAAGGACAGGTATATGGGATAACTAGATAACGCTGTAATCGTATGGATACCCCCACCATAATATGTACATGACATTTTTGGTCACCATTTCCAGTCCATAATTTTGTATTAGATAATAGCAGGTATAAAAACCCTGGGTTGAACTTTGAACGATATCGTATTTATTAGTTATAACTTCTGGTCTTTACGAACGAAAAATACTATGTACTTATAAACAGTAGCACAGTTACTTATGAGAAACCACCAAACTTTGAGGCACTGTATCTCGCTAATGGATCAACATAAAATAAAAATGTTAACGTTATAATTCATAAAAAAAATAGTTTTATTGTTTTATAAGATTTTTATTATGGGTTGCCATTTGAAAATCAAAAGTTGATAATAGTTTCACCAATAAATATAAGGGTGAAAAAAATTAAAGTGTTATACAAATGTAGAAAAGTATGCAACTAAAATTTTAAGAAAAAAAATTTTGGTAAAATGTCTATACTTTCAGAAATAATGAGTGTTCTTCGATAAAAAAATCACCCTGTATATGTGATGCACCAGCTCGAGCCTTAGTAAAATGTATTAAAAGGCATAATGCATATTTTGCATATGAAAAATGCCAAGTTGAGGGTGATCATATAAATAATCGCATGTGTTTTGCTGACGTTTCAGCACCACGTCGTACTGATATTGATTTTGCAGCTGGTGTCTATGATGATCACTGTCGTGAAAAGTCACCTCTTCTTTTGATTCCAAGAGCAAAATTAGTGACACAATTTCCACTAGATTATTTACACTTAATTTGTCTTGGCACTGTACGAAAAATGTTATACTTGTGGATAAACACAACACCCCTTAATGTCAGGCTTTCAGGAGTAGTGGTAAAAAATATTTCTTATCAACTAATTGAATTACAGAAACATATTTCATCTGACTTTGCTCGAAAACCAAGAGCATTGTCTGAGCTTTGTCATTGGAAGGGCACAGAATTTAGACTGTTTGTTTTATATATTGGCCCATTAGTGTTAAAAAATATGTTAAATCCAAATTTGTATGCCCATTTTATGACACTTCATACTGCTATAAGAATATTATCTTCATCTAAATATGTAAATTATATGATTCATTATGCCAATGATTTACTACTACATTTTGTCACTCAATTTGGAGGGTTATATAATAATAATAATAATAATAATAATAAGTTTATTACCATCAAATAAGATTACAAATAGTATTAGCCTAAGCTGAAATTTAAAAATTGATGGATCTCCTCAAAAGCCAATGGCTGTGCTAGAGGAGAGAGTTCACAAACGTAATTAATGTTAGATATAGATTTTAACGTAAGAGAAAAAGAAAAAAGAAAAAACAGATATTAGATAGACTAAATAAAACTAAAACAAGAAAAATTACAAAAACAGAGTATTAACATAATTTTTATAACTTAAGTAACTTTTAAAATTATTGACGTTTAAATTATGATCACAACAAAATTTTACAAACTTGAATTGAGGACATTGCTGTCCAAAAACAGTTCTAATTTTTGGTATAATGACATTTGATTTCAATTTTAGTCGGGTAGAATAATCATGGCTTGGAACAGCTATGTCCTCCTTAAAACTATACATTAATAAACAAATATTTTTAAAATATAAAGACTTAAGGTTTAATATATTTAACTCTTTATATAAACTCGAAGTTTGATGCATGCAAGGTATATTGAAAATGAATTTGAGCAGTGAATTAAGTGTTACCTCAAGGTTAGAAAGATGTGTATGGTAAGTACCTCCCCAAAAAGAAATACCATAATGAGATGATTGACTGCACAAGTGCAATGTAAGTTAGCTTTTTAAGTTTATAATTTAATATGTGTTTGAGCGATTTGAATATATAAAAAAATTTTTTAATCGTGTTATTAATATGGTTAATATGAATGTTCCATTTAAGGTTTTCATCAAAATAAACACCCAGATATTTTAATGAAGTTACCCGATTTAGTGAAACACAGTTGCATAAGATTGTTGGGTCGATGTTTTTACGGCAGCTATGCGAATGGACCTTAATTATTTGATCATCAGAAAAAGAAGTGTTTTTTATTCTAAAGTGAATATATTTAGTTTTTTCCATGTTAATTGCTAGAGAATTATTGTCAAACCAGTTTTTAACCATTGAAAAACAATTCTCAGCTGTTTTAAATAAATCATTAATGTTACGATTATTTACTAAAATAACTGTGTCATCAGCAAAGCAGATCAGTTTAGCCTGTGTGGACAGATTGAGAAGGCCATTAATATAAATTATGAACAGTAACGGTCCAAGTACAGTACCCTGCGGTACTGAGTAATTTATGTTAGCACTATCACTCAATTTATTATCAATTTTAACTCTTTGTGTCCTTCCTTTTAGGTAGGATTTAATTAATTTATAAGTAACACCTCGAATACCGCATAAAAATAATTTTTTTAGTAATATTTCATGGTCAACCGAATCAAATGCTTTTTTTATATCCAGAAAAATACCAATTACATTCTGTTTATCATCAATATTATCATAAATAAATTTAGTAGTGTAATATAAAGCATTGCTAGTTGACATATTGCTCCTAAAGCCAAATTGGTTCTTATGAAAAAAATTATGCTTATCCAAAAATTCAACAATCCTAATCTTTAGACATTTTTCAAATAATTTACATATAGTAAGAGTTAGACTTATAGGTCGATAGTTAGAACATTTATTTCTTTCACCTTTTTTATAAATTGGGATAACAATTGTTTCTTTAAATGGACTAGGAAATTCACCCTTATTAATGCAAATGTTGAATAAAAAAGATAGAGGGAGAGAGATAGACTTGGCCGTCATTTTTAAAACAGTATTTGTTAAAGTGTTATTACAAAAGGAGTTAAAATTTTTGCATTTTTTAATTAAATTGACAATTTCAGATGGTTCAATTGATCTTAAAAAAATTGAGTTAGGGATGAAACAGTTTTTATTTAGTTCATGAAAAGGAACTTTATTAAAATTACCATTTTTAATATTCATAGATATATCAGCCCCAACATTAGAGAAGAACGTATTAAACTGTTGCACAATATCTTTTTTATCAGTTAATTTATTACCATCACTGTCTAAATTATTAGAAACTATTATTTTGTTATTTGTTTTAATACCAGCTGCATCTTTGATTAGATTCCACACTTTTTTAGAGTTATTACCAGCAAGATTAATGCGATATTCATAATAGAGATTCCTAGCCAATTTGATTAAATTATTTAATAAATTTCTATAATTTGTATATTTTTGTTTAAGATTAGCATTAAATGGTTGTTTACGTAATTTATTATATAGTTTTTCTCTATTTCTAATTGAAGTGATAAGCCCTTTTGTAATCCATTGCTTGATTTTTTTATTTTTGTTTTTATATTCATTGTTTAATAAAGTACTAGAGGAAGATATAATAAGTCTATTAATTGTTAAATTAAATTCCTCAATGGCAGCATCAGCGTTATTAGTTTCATATAATCTACTCCAATTTTCACTGGTAATTAAGAAGTTAAGACGTTTCCAATTTATGCGTCTTCGTTCTATTAATTGGTGATCATTGGTATTAGATTTACAGTTTGGTTTTTCAAGAGTGATAATTGTACTAAAATGATCGGTAATACTAGTTTCAAGAATATACGCTTTTAATGCGTCCGAATCAGTATTTTGACTATCATTAAGTTTAAAATAATTATTTATGAAAATGTGATCAATACATGTTTTAGAGTTATCTGTAATTCTAGTGAAATCATTTATAGCAGAGGTATAACCAAATTTTGCTAGAGTGTTCACATATGAATTAGATTCAATCGAATCATCAAATAAATTGATATTAATATCATCACATAAAATATGATCACCTATAAAGTTCTCATTTAGCAGATATTCACCTAATGAGGTAATAAATTGATCTTTATTATGGCATTGTGACCTATAAATCCCAGTAACAGTAAAATTATAATCATTTTTATTGACAGTTAGTTTAATCGAATTACAATTATTTATAGATTGTATCTCAACACTATCTAATCTACAATTATTGCTCACTAGGACGGATACCCCGTCACAATGGTTGATTATACCTAACGAGTGAAAAACTTGATAGTTTTTGATTGGTATATTATATTCTTCTTTCAACCAAGTCTCACCAAGTACAATAACATCAAATTCATTTTCAATACTTTCAAGTAACATTATTAATTCATGAATGTGTGCTTTATAACTTCTAATATTCATAGAGAAGATATTTATAGAATTATTACTTAAACTAATATCATTTATACATTCAACTGATACTGTTTTTATACAGTTAATACTATTTACACTATCAAATAAATTGTTTAAATTAAACCTATCCATAGTATTATAGGTTGATATGTTTTAACAACAACTTAATAAAGTTAAAATATAATTAAAGAAAAGACAAATAAAATAATATAGAATAAAAATAATATGTTTTAGTTTATAGTCGACCATAAACATTCAACTTTTTTTTAGTATCGATATTCTGTAATTGTGATAACGAACTTACTCTAACGCCAGTATCACCATCGGATTTTTTTAAGAATACACCACTTTGATTTGTCCAAACATATTTGAAATGATAGATAGCTGCAAGTTGTTTTGTCATCCAAAGCAATTTTCTATTGTCAGTTGATAGTTGATGATTTAGGAAAATTTTACGGTCTGGAAACGAAGTGTGAATTTGATTGGCAGTAATTGGACTTGTCTTCAACTTTGATTTAAATGCAGATAATATTGCTTCCTTTTTATTTTTGTCATTGAAACCAATAATAATTCTATCAGTATCATTACTTTTGGACTTAATGCGGTATAATTTACTAATATCTACTTCCTTTATTTCGATATCTAATAATTTAGTTAACTTTGAAGTAATATCAAATAAAGATTCATTAGCCGTTTTAGGTATATTCATAATATCTAGGTTATTTATTAGTTTAAACTGCTCAGCAGTATTATAGCTAGATTTTAAATAATCAATTTCATTTTGCATTTTAGTAAATTTATTTTCAATTTCTTGAATTTTAATAGTATTTTGCTTAACATTAGTAACTATACCATCAATCTTTAAAGAGAAATCGTCAATTTTATTAGAACAAAAGGTCATAGATTCTTGTAATCCATTAAATGAAATAATCAATTTATCAAGATTTTCGAGTTTAGTTAAAATTGTTTTAATTGACGACTGAATACTGGAAAGATCTGTTATTGTTTCAGGTTCTATATTAGTATCTGACTTATCTGTTTTCTTACGTATAGTTAAGTTTTGAGATCGAAGGCAGCTGTCACATTTCCAAAACCTTTTATCAGTTCCCAAACTATTATAATTGGAAATAGAAACAAGTTTAGTGCATTGCGGATGGAAGTAAGATTTACACTCAGCGCACGATATATTTTTGCTCGGCGAAACAACTTTATCGCACTGAACGCACGACATAACGATAACGAACAGACAACCTTTCTGTATGACCGTTGGAATCGAACTGATATATGGTGATGAATATATATCATATAATATACATAACCTTATTTATTTGGCTGAGGACTGTCGGCGGTATGGGCATTTAGATTTATTCAGTACTTTCCATTTTGAAAACAGTTTCCAAGTTATAAAAAAAAAAATAAGAAAAAGTACCAATCCCTTAGCTCAACTTCGAAACAGAGAAGAAGAGCGTTGTAACACACCTTTAATAAACACTAAAAATTACCCAATATTAAAAAAAAGAAATGTGAATGGCACTTTTATTGTTGGAGTTGAAGGTGTGTCGTATAAACAAGTTCATACCGAATTATTTTTACTAACTATAAAGAAACCGAATAATTGTTGCATTGATAATGATGGGTCAATACTTTTAATTGAAAATATCACTCAGAGTGATAATGAAATATTTTTGGTTTGTAGACAATTTTTAAATGTAAATGATTTATTTGAATTTCCTTTGCCTTCAGGTAATATTGGAATATTTTTATGTAATAATTTATCAGAACTTAATCCAATAAAATTAATTAATATCAAATCTAAAGCATTCATAATACCCATGCATAATGATGAAAATGTAGATACATTTTCTATGTTAACAATATTACATTAAATATTGCACATTTTACTATTAGGTAGATTTGTGTATTTTTAAAACTTAGAATTTAATTTTTATAATTTTTATTTAAACTAAAAAAACATGTTAGCAAACTATTTTCAGAAATCAAAATGGAAGATTGTAAATTTGTTATCAGTGAAGTACATTTTAAAGAAGGACCAATGCTAACAATTTTACATTATAGTTGGTTAGTGAGTACAGATAACGTAACGCAATATTGCCTATGGCCGAATAAAAAAGGTTCATCCATTAAATTAGCCAAGTCAGAGTGCTACCCAGAAGACAGTTGGATTCAATATAGATGTAGGATTATATATAAATGTGGTTAGTAATAAATGGGTAAACTTAAGTTATTAACTCAATTTTTTTTAACTGTGTATAAATGGTTTTAGAATCATTCACTCAAGCCCAAAAAAAATTGAACAGATTTGCAAATGATAACAATTATAAAGGTGAAACAACAAATGATGAAGATAAAGGTCGTGGGAAGAGGCAGAAATTTAAAAATTTAAAATTATTCACTGATGAATCAAGTTCACAAGAATCTCATAGTTTTATTAAAAGTCTTCCAAAACCTCCTTCATGGGCTAAACGCCTGAGTAATTACAATTTATATTTGGTTATCTAAATATAGGTTTTAAAAACTTCATTATTTGCTTATGTTGTACAGATGATAATGACAATATATTGGTGCAGCCATACCACTCCACAGAAAAACCCAAAAAAACAAATCAATTTGGTAAAAACATTAGTCTTAGTTAATATAATTCTTATTTGGTAATTTATATAGTTTTTTAAAAATTTCTATCTTTGCTAATGTTGTACAGATGGTAATGAGGATGATATAATGTTTGATCCGGCATACCACTCAACGGAAAAAAGAAATAAAACAAATCAAATTGGTAAAAATATTAGTCTTAGTTAATATAATTCTTATTTGGTAAGTTACATAGTTTTTTTAAAAATGTCTATCTTTGCTAATGTTGTACAGATGATAGTGAGGATGATATGTTTGAGCCGGCATACCACTCAACGGAAAAAAAAAATAAAACAAATCATATTGGTAACAATTAGTTTTAGTTAATACAATTCTTATTTAGTAAGTTACATAGTTTTTTAAAAATGTCTATCTTTGCTAATGTTGTACAGATGATAGTGAGGATGATATGTTTGAGCCGGCATACCACTCAACGGAAAAAAAAAATAAAACAAATCATATTGGTAACAATTAGTTTTAGTTAATACAATTCTTATTTTGTAAGTTACCTACATAGTTTTTTTTTAATTTCTATATTTGCTTAGGTTGTACAGATAATAGTGACAAAGATATAGTTGAGCTGAATATTTCAGCAAGAGAAATATCTCAAGATGAAAGATCCCAAGACGAAACGACTTCTAATAATACAGGTAAATTAATTTTTATGGTAAATCTGGGTATTGTAAAATTATATGTACCTAATAACTTAAAATCAATATTTTTAGTAAATTTATCAACTATTGCAAACCTACTGCAAAAACAGTTCAAAGCAACACTATACACTAATTGTTTACTTGAACAATTATTACAATCCAATAATCAAACTGTCCAACCAGCTAGCTTAAGTATTCAGGAAAAATTTCGAAGCAGGTTCCATAATTTGCCACTTAATTCCTTAGAAGATGTTGTTGAAATGGAAAATAAGTTGAAAGATCCAGCATCACAGCATTTAATGGTAATTTTTTATTTATAATTATTAATTCAAACTTAATCTTTTCATTAATTGCTTTTATAATTTTGGAAAAATCGCTTAAGACAATGTGGGTGCCGAAATAGTATACAAGAAACTGTCACTACTATATTAAGAACAGTAATGAGTGATACATGTGCTCAATATTATAACTTTGATGGAAAGAACAATGCAAAGAATCCATTTAAAGAATTGACTCTTAATTCTATAATAATAGGTATAATCACTGAGTGATAATAATCTATACATATTAGGTATTATACTTATACAAAAATTATTTTTTATATATTATTCTTTTTTGTTTTGTTAACTATTAGATGTTGTTTTAAATTTCCACACCGATGCAACTGAGCATGATGTCAAAACAAAAATTCGGAATTGGTTAAGATTAGCTTCGACAGGACTTTCAAATAAAATAATTCGCCAGACTCTTAAACAAAAAAATAATACGTAAACTTTAACCATACCACTTTATCCTTAAATTTAACCATAGCCATAATATTATTTTCATTATTTTTACATTATTATTATATTTTTTTTTCTTATTTTTTAATGCTGATATGTCTACTGCTGTATTATATATAGTAACATAATACATTTAAAGACAAATATTTATATTTTTAAATTGCAATTTAACCATAGACAAATAATTGTCATTATTTTTGAATTATTATTATTATTATTATTATTTAATAACGGTATGACTACTGCTGAACTATATATAGTAACAGAATAAATTGATATAAATAAAATGAATATTCTTATAGGACGATCACCCATTAAAGCTGTAATACCAAATTATTTTACTAAGTTCCTAATTTTGTGATTGATTATTAAATTATTTATATTCTAAGCTTTTTGCAAAGAATTTTTAATTGTTTGATAGAGATGATTGTTATTATTGTATTTATAAAATATATGTTAACAAATTGACTAAAATGTATGTTATATTTAAATTATAAGTATTATTTTAAGTAGTATGTTTACATATTTTTTTAGATTATAATGAATGTTTTAATTTATTATTTTTTGTTCTATGTAATATAACTAAAAACAATAATATATAATATGTAATGGAGTATTTTTTACCTACCAATTATGTTATGTCTACTTAAAATGTTAATTAATGTATATGGATAGATGTTATAAAAGAGTTAAATTTGATCTACTACATGATATATGATAGATACTTTAATTGGATCTTCGAATAGACTAAAAAAGTGGCGCATATAGAGTATAGACTAATCTAGAGACTTATCATAGACATCTACATTTACATCACATGTATGTCTTACGTCTATGATGGATTGGTATATTAGACGTCTAATATACATTACAGTGTTTGCTGGGCCGCCATAGTCTTGGAACCGTTTTCATAATATTGGTAACCACGGGTCTAACATCATGTTGGTGCGTGGAACCAATTCCATGTTTTTCGTAGGTTCAGACTTCAGAACATAGGTAACCAATACCCCAATCAGCTGATAGAGTGTCGCTTCTATATTGTTCTATGATGAAAACAGACAGCTCACTCGGCCGAAAACATTGAGAAAAAATAATAAGATTCTCTGATTGGTGCGATCAAATCAGTGTAGCTGCATGCGTTTAAATAAATTATTGTATACTTGTATGTACCGATTGTAATTATAGTCGCGGCGACGAAAAATGAGCGCTGACCGTCATGCGCCAAGCGGCAGTTTATTAGTAGTGGTTATCAATCTTTGAAACAAAAAGCCCTACAGCGCGTAGCAGCATGACAGCTGCACTATGTTGAGAATCACTGGCCATAAGAGAGGATAAAAGCAACGGGTCGCGGTACCAACGCTCATTTTTCGTTGTCGCGACTATAGTAAGTTAATGACATATGAAACTGAGAAAGACGATAGTTAATTATTTTTATTATTTATTACGTATAAGTTAACACAAGCTTTTAACACAGATAGTCAGATAGTCTGTATTTTGAACTTTAATTTATAAATTTAAATTTACATTAAGGCGGCTCTAAACGATTGGATTTTTCATTCATTTAGACTAATAAGCTGGCGAAAAATACACATACTTCTAGTAGTCAAATTTTAATTTTGAATACTTATTTGAATTCGTTAGCCTCTTTTCTATGATCTGTAGGAAAAACTTTTTCATCTTTTTGTCTTGTTAGCACTTAAAAGTGCAAGTTAAATTTGAGAAATCAAGCAATCATTTAGAACCGTAATATATGTAAATTATCCAAAATATCCAAAATCGGTTTCCTACAAATCATAGAAAAGAGGCTGATGAATTCAAATAATTTTTCAAAATTTAAATTGGACTTCTAGAAGTATGTATATTTTTCGCCAGCTTATTAGCATTTTTCACTGTTGTGGGTATACAAAAATATTTTTCGAGAGTGATTACGTTGACTTCTGCATGCGGGTACGTGTGCTATTGAACCGTGTGCCCGCAGCCGGGCGATATAAAATCTATTGTTATCGAGTTCGAATTTCTTCGAAATTAAAATGATATTGTTGGAGTTATATACAAAACACCCTATATAATGTAGTGTATAAGTAATATATTCACACTGTAGTTCAGCAGACGCTGACTATACATTTTTATAATACTACAGCATAAATGTCTTGTGAAGTGTAGCCGGGTATATATATTACATACCTAGTCGTTGATTTATATTACGCATCGTAACACTATTGTACATCGTATCATTATACTTATTATTATAATATTATATATATCCGATTTTATTATTATTTACCTTTAACTTCTGTATATCTGTGTACTTCAACAGGTTATGGGCCCAGTAGTAAGGTCTTTATAATAAAGTTGTGAATAGTTATTAAAATAATAATTGATTAACGAATTGCGTTTTCTTGTGTACAGACAGTGTACATCAATAATAATTCGAGAAGTAAGTGCAGTGTAGTGTGAGTGCGTTTCTTATTGTGCAGATAGTGTACATTTACGTTTTTTAAATATGGAGAACGAACAATATTAAATCAACAAACTCAAAGATGCATCAAATTGGGACATGTGGAAATTTCAAATTAAGGTTATCATGAATGCAGCTGAAATATTTGATGTAGTAACAGGAAAATCAAAGAAACCAATTTTAGCAAAAATCGGTAATGAAACTGAAGATGAAGCGAGAAAAAGGCATAGCGTTGATTTTTCAATATGGAAAAGAGCAGATAAGGCTCAAAAATGGATCGTCACATCGTTAGATGAACAACCTCTACAATACATTATGAACTGTGTCACAGCAAGTGGTATGTGGAACAAATTACTTAGTGTGTACGAACAGATGTCGGACACAAACATAACAATAGTACAACAAAAGTTCTATCGTTATACAATGGATCCAAAAGACAATATAGCAGGTCATATTTCAAAATTAGAAAATCTAAGTAGACAACTAAAACAATTGGGAGAACCTATCTCAGAATCAATGCTGGTTAAAAAAATTTTGATGACATTACCTTATAGCTATAGGCACTTCTACAGTGCATGTTACTCAATGAATAGTGCAAATAGAACGCTAGAACAGTTAACCACTTGATTGATAGTGGAAGAAACACGACAAGTGCAAGGACAGGAGGTCCGTGACGATGGTGCTGAAAGTAGTGCTATGACTGCAACCAAAGGCAAGTATAATAAAAGTCAAAAATACGTGAACAAAAATGATAATACAAAACCAGGAAAATGCAATCACTGTCAAAAACCAGGACATTGGAAAAGGGACTGCAGGATATTCAAAAAGGAACAAGAAGAAAAGAAATCAACTTCCGGTTTGGCACTTATTGGTGTACAAAGAAAAAATGAAGAAATCGACGACTCAGACAAATGGTATGTAGACTCAGGTGCGAGCGACCACATGAAAAATCGAAAAGAGTGGTTCGGCGATTAGAAACATTTTGATGTGCATTCGCTTGTACGTATTGGAGATGATAAGCACATTATGGCAGTCGGAAAAGGTAACATAAATATTCATACTTATGTTGACAATAAGTGGATAAAAGGCTACTTAGAAAATGTTTTATATGTACCTGATCTAAAGATAAATTTATTTTCTTGTGGGGCATGCCTTGATAAAGGAATTACAATGGTGACAGACAGTAAAGGTTGCTCATTTAAAATTAATAATCGTGTAATTGCAGTCGGTGTTCGTGAGAATAAATTGTTTACAATGCTAATCAAAACAGATATTTCACAGAAAATTGGACACTGTGCTAACGTTGCAGTTAAGAAATTAACATTAGAACACTGGCACAAAATACTGTCATCAGAATGTCAAACATGTTCGTGAGTATTTAAAACACAATTAAATACAATATACAGGTATACAAGGACAGTTATTCTGTGAACCATGCATCTATGGCAAACAGCATAAGGAGACGTTCTCTCAGAGCGAAACAATAACTACTGAACCAGGGCAAATAATACACAGCGACGTATGTGGACCCATGGAAGAGAATTCACTAGGAGGTAAAAGATATTTCATTATATTTAAAGATGATTATTCTAAATATACTTATGTCTATTTTATGAAACATAAATCTGAGGTTAAAGAAAAACTTAATTGTTTTCTGAGTATGGTTAAAACTCAAACAAAATACCTTATTAAAACTATTAGAAGTAACTGAGGATTACAGTATAAGAATTTCGAAGTTCAATTAATTTCTAAATCTTCTAGGTATAAAGCATGAAACAAGTGTACCTTATACTCCTGAACAAAATGGAAAAGCTGAACGTTTAATGAGGACTATTTGTGATACAGCCAGAACAATGATATATGCCCAGAATTTTCCAAAACCACTGTGGGCAGAAGCAGTCAATACAGTAGTGTTCTCATTAAATTATACTGGTAATTCAGGGAAAGTATGTAAAACTCCATAAGATTTATGGTTTGATAAACTTCCTAAAATAGAAAAGTTCGTAGAATTTGGAATAAATGCATATAGTTTAGTTCCAAAACAACGACGAAGGAAGTGGGATGCAAAAAGTCGAAAAGGATTCTTTGTTGGGTATTCAGAAACTTCAAAAGGGTATCGTATTTGGTATAAAGAAAATAATGAGGTGTCACTTAGTAGAGACGTCATTTTCAAGGATGAAAATGTTGTAAATTACCAACTTGTAGAATGTTCTAATAACTTAAATGATAGTAATAACATTGATGTTCTTAGCTTACACAAAGACGGCTCATTAGAACACAGCAATAAACCAGAAGGAGATGAAGTAGTAGAAAATGAATATGGACCAATAAGTTTAGATGACAATGAAAATCAAGAACATGAACAATTAAATGGGTCAAATGTCAACGTGTACAACTTGCGGGACAGAAGTAATATTAAGAAACCATTACGTTATGATAATTCAGCATTTTTCGCAGTCGAATCCGATCCAGGGAATTTCAAGGAAGCTGTGGAGTCACAAAATTCAGAAAAATGGGTGGAAGCCATGAACAATAAAATGGAATCTCTTGAACAAAACGGAACATGGTCTCTCGTAAAGTTACCTAAGGACAGAACTATTGTAAATTGTGGTTGGGTGTATAAAACAAAATACAATGTTCATGGACATTCAACGCAGTTTATAAGGTCTAAAGCATCACCACGATGTTGGAACATAAAGTTCAAAACATTTCTTTTTAACTTTAATCTATAAGAAACAAAAGCAGATCCCTGTGTTTTTGTTAATAGAGAAAATAACAAAGTATTAATCGTCACTATATTTGTTGATGATGGTCTAGTTGCAGCTACATCGAGTGAGAATATAAATGCATTAATGGAATATTTGAGACGACATTTCAATATTACCGAAGGAGAATTGAATCAATTTTTAGGTACAGAAATTGAGCAAAAATCTGATGGATCAATTGTAATGCACCAAGGGTTGTATTGTAAAAGAATATTGGAGAAGTTCAATATGACTGAAGCAAATCCAGTTCAAATAACAGCAGACCCTCAATATTCATTCGATGACAAGCAACAAAACACCAATCTAACTAGTAAAGTCCCATATCGTGAAGCAGTCGGAAGCTTATTATATCTCAGTCAGATTACAAGACCGGACATAACTTTTTCAGTAAATCTAGTTAGTAGATACATCGAGGATCCAAAGGAACAACACTGAACAGCAGTGATTAAATTTTAAAATATTTAAAGGGAACTATTAATTTTGGATTGATATTTAGTTCTAGACAAAAACTCATGTTAAAGGGATACAGTGATGCTGACTATGCAGGTGACTTGGATACAAGAAGGTCGACATCAGGGTGAGTATTTACATTAGGATCTGGAAGTATAGCATGGAGTTCACGTCGTCAACAGTGTGTTAGCCTTAGCACAACTGAATCAGAGGAGGTACATAGCTTTAAGTCAAGCAGTACAAGAATTAACTTGGTTAAAATTGTTTTTAGGTGAATTGCTGGACCAGCCAAAAATGGTGCCAACAATGTATGGAGACAATCAAAGTGCGATTAAACTCGTAAAAAATCCAGAGTTTCATAGAAGAACAAAGCACATAGATGTTCGCTACCACTATATAAGAGAAAAGTTCAATGAGGGATTGTTTTCATTGGAGTACATATCCAGCAAGGAGCAGATTGCGGACATTATGACTAAGCCAACTCCACGAACGCGGTTCAATGAGCTAAGGGAGATGTTAGGAGTTATAAGTATTGATGTATAAGGGTATATTGTTTAAGGGAAAGTGTTGGAATTATAAACAAAACACCATATATAATGTAGTGTTTTATATTTAACTTCTGTATATCTGTGTACTTCAACAGATATATTTAACTATTATTAAATTATTATTAATACTGTAGAGGTTCCGCCGTTATCACGGGCGTCCTCCAACGTTCGCACGGGTACGTCGGTACTCGGGCGGAGTTTGTTCAAGAAAAAGGAACAGTTTGTTGTACAAAGGCGTGTTTATTAAGTAATGCAATTCGGATGAATGTATATACAATAAGGTCGATCGATGATCGAAAGTGAGCGGTCGGTCACGTGGGTTTCGTGGTGTAGTAGCGCGTTTCGTAAACGGCAAAATATGGCGTCGGTACTCGGAGTAGACGGTGTACGTGTCGGTTGACGGTTATGGAAAAAGAGAACGAGCGCCGGCCGCCGCGGCGGCGTGGAGGCCGGCTCTGGGCGCGAAAACAATGTGACCAACCGCTTTACAATGTCGCCGACGACGGAAGGAGGTCATGTGGCGACGGTTCGCCACATTACTCCCCCCCAACAAAGGAGAAAATACTGTGGGAATTTTCGCTGCCGGGTGGCTGTCGATGGACTGCATGGTATATGAGTGATCCGCAACCGGGTCGTCGCGTAGGACGAAAGCTGGCTTGAGCCGATCTATGGACACCCACGATGTTCGATTGCCCAACTGCAGTCTGAAGTCCTTCTCTCGTCCGTCCAGTACAGCGTAGGGTCCCTCGTAGCGTGGTTGCAAGGGGGCACGTTGCGCGTCGATGCGGATGAAAACATGGCTAACGGTGTTGAGCTGCGTGGGTACGAAAATGCGGCGGGTCGGGTCGTGGTTGGATCCCGGCGACGGCCGAAGCTCAGCCATGGACGTCTTAAGTGCCGTGACGAATTCCGGAGACCTTACCTCTGCGGGCGCGGCGTGAAAAAGCTCACCGGGGAGCCGTAGGGTCGTCCCGTAAACAAGTTCGGCGGGTGTAGAGCCGGTGTCTGGCTTGATGGTGTTGCGAAGTGCCAGGAGGACGATGGGCAGACGCTACGACCATTGTGGCGATTCTTGCGCAGTAAGCGCCGCCTTGAGTGTCCTGTGTAAACGTTCCACTAACCCGTTAGCCTGCGCGTGATACGGGGAGGTGCGGACGTGTTGAATCCCGAAGGTAGAATGGAGCGCGCGCATCAAGTCGGACTCGAACTGCCGCCCTTGGTCCGTGGTGATGATGTCCGGCACTCCGAAGCGCGCGACCCAATTGGTTACCAGCGTAGACGCGACGGTGTGAGCACACATGTTATCGACGGGCCAGGCCTCGGGCCAACGAGTGAATCGGTCGACGCAGGTGAGTAGGTACTTGGCGTTGTCCGACACGGGTAGCGGTCCGACGAGGTCCAGGTGTATGTGACCGAAACGTCGGTCCGGTGCCGCGAAAGTGGCGAGGGGCGTCAAGGTGTGCCTGTGGACCTTGGCTTTTTGGCATTGTTCGCACGTTTTGACCCCCCGCCGTATTTCCCGGTTCATTCCGGGCCAAACAAAACGTTTCACGATTAGTGCGGTTGTGGCCGCGCCGCCGCCGTGCGCCTGACGATGTAAGGTGTTGAACACGGCGCGTCGACGTCGAAGCGGGACGAAAAGCCTCGAGCTATCGTAAGCTACGTCGAAGTAGACCGGCCCGTTTGCTGTCTGCCGTGCGTCCAATTCAAGCGACGACTCCGTCCTGCCGGCGAGGATGTCCTGTAGCTCGGTATCGCTAGCCTGGTCCGTTGCCCATTGCTCCAGGTCGGGGAGCCCGTCGTCGCACGCCGCTAACTCTAGTCGCGACAGTGCGTCGGGAATAACGTTGAACTCGCCGCTGATATGCTCGATCTCGTGGAAGTACTGCGACAAAAAGGCAACATGTCGGGCCTGGCGGTCGATAAGCTTCTAGGCCTTCTGTGAGAACATGAACAGCAGGGGGCGGTGGTCGGTGCGGAGTGTAACACGTCTGCCCTCGATAGCGTGTACGAAATGCCGTGCAGCGAGATATGCGGCTAGTAGCTCGCGGTCGTACGCACTGTACCGTGTCTGTGCGCCGGAGAGTTTGCGCGAAAAAAATCCGAGCGGTTGCCATTCCTTACCAACGAACTGCTCGAGGACTGCTCCGACCGCGACGTTCGATGCGTCAGTGGATAGGCGTAATGGTACGTCGTGCTGCGGGTGTACCAA